CTACTACAACACTGTACACAAGTGTTCACTACTACAACACTGTACACAAGTGTTCACTACTACAACACTGTACACAAGTGTTCACTACTACAACACTGTACACAAGTGTTCACTCCTACAACACTGTACACAAGTGTTCACTCCTACAACACTGTACACAAGTGTTCACTCCTACAACACTGTACACAAGTGTTCACTCCTACAACACTGTACACAAGTGTTCACTCCTACAACACTGTACACAAGTGTTCACTACTACAACACTGTACACAAGTGTTCACTCCTACAACACTGTACACAAGTGTTCACTCCTACAACACTGTACACAAGTGTTCACTCCTACAACACTGTACACAAGTGTTCACTCCTACAACACTGTACACAAGTGTTCACTACTACAACACTGTACACAAGTGTTCACTCCTACAACACTGTACACAATGTTCACTCCTACAACACTGTACACAAGTGTTCACTCCTACAACACTGTACACAAGTGTTCACTCCTACAACACTATACACAAGTGTTCACTACAACACTATACACAAGTGTTCACTCCTACAACACTATACACAAGTGTTCACTCCTACAACACTATACACAAGTGTTCACTCCTACAACACTATACACAAGTGTTCACTCCTACAACACTGTACACAAGTGTTCACTACTACAACACTGTACACAAGTGTTCACTCCTACAACACTGTACACAAGTACTTCTGAGAGTCTGACACAGACTGATGTTGTAGTAGCCAGACTTAGTCTTGGTTACAAGTACTTCTTAACAGAGAGGGCACTGGACTGTACCTACTCTAGTACTCTCAACAGTACATTGTGTGCCATATTACAGTGTGTACCATAGTACCATGTACCTCTCTTTCAGGTACTCTCAGCTATGGCCGACCTGGTTGGCTACAAGGAACATGACGGTCTCTTCTGCCCTGGTGGATCTATCAGTAATATGTATGGCATGTTACTGGCCAGGTATCATCACTGTCCTGATGTCAAGGTAATGTACCAGCTGTACCAGCTGTACCAGCTGTTACTGGCCAGGTATCATCACTGTCCTGATGTCAAGGTAATGTACCAGCTGTACCAGCTGTTACTGGCCAGGTATCATCACTGTCCTGATGTCAAGGTAATGTACCAGCTGTACCAGCTGTTACTGGCCAGGTATCATCACTGTCCTGATGTCAAGGTAATGTACCAGCTGTACCAGCTGTTACTGGCCAGGTACCAGCTGTTACTGGCCAGGTATCATCACTGTCCTGATGTCAAGGTAATGTACCAGCTGTACCAGCTGTTACTGGCCAGGTATCACCACTGTCCTGATGTCCAAGTAATGTACCAGCTGTACCAGCTGTTACTGGCCAGGTATCACCACTGTCCTGATGTCAAGGTAATGTACCAGCTGTACCAGCTGTTACTGGCCAGGTATCATCACTGTCCTGATGTCAAGGTAATGTACCAGCTGTACCAGCTGTTACTGCCAGCTATCACACTGTCCTGATGTCAAGGTAATGTACCAGCTGTACCAGCTGTTACTGGCCAGGTATCATCACTGTCCTGATGTCAAGGTAATGTACCAGCTGTTACTGGCCAGGTATCATCACTGTCCTGATGTCAAGGTAATGTACCAGCTGTACCAGCTGTTACTGGCCAGGTATCATCACTGTCCTGATGTCAAGGTAATGTACCAGCTGTACCAGCTGTTACTGGCCAGGTATCATCACTGTCCTGATGTCAAGGTAATGTACCAGCTGTACCAGCTGTTACTGGCCAGGTATCATCACTGTCCTGATGTCAAGGTAATGTACCAGCTGTACCAGCTGTTACTGGCCAGGTATCATCACTGTCCTGATGTCAAGGTAATGTACCAGCTGTACCAGCTGTACCAGCTGTTACTGGCCAGGTATCATCACTGTCCTGATGTCAAGGTAATGTACCAGCTGTACCAGCTGTTACTGGCCAGGTATCATCACTGTCCTGATGTCAAGGTAATGTACCAGCTGTACCAGCTGTTACTGACCAGGTATCATCACTGTCCTGATGTCAAGGTAATGTACCAGCTGTACCAGCTGTTACTGGCCAGGTACCAGCTGTTACTGGCCAGGTACCAGCTGTTACTGGCCAGGTACCAGCTGTTACTGGCCAGGTACCAGCTGTTACTGGCCAGGTACCAGCTGTTACTGGCCAGGTACCAGCTGTTACTGGCCAAGTACCAGCTGTTACTGGCCAGGTACCAGCTGTTACTGGCCAGGTACCACCTGTTACTGGCCAGGTATAATCACTGTCCTGATGTCAAGGTAATGTACCAGCTGTACCAACTGTTGCTGGCAGGTACCAGCTGTTACTGGCCAGGTATTATCACTGTCCTGATGTCAAGGTAATGTACCAGCTGTACCAGCTGTTACTGGCCAGGTACCAGCTGTTTCTGGCAAGGTATCATCACTGTCCTGATGTCAAGGTAATGTACCAGCTGTACCAACTGTTGCTGGCAGGTACCAGCTGTTACTGGCCAGGTATTATCACTGTCCTGATGTCAAGGTAATGTACCAGCTGTACCAGCTGTTACTGGCCAGGTACCAGCTATTACTGGCCAGGTACCACCTGTTTTCGCCCTTGTAAAACCAATCTCTTGTAGTCAAAGTAACGTAAGATAAGATAAGATAAGATTTCGTTGGGATTTTTAACCCCGGAGGGTTAGCCACCCAGGATAACCCCGGAGGGTTAGCCACCCAGGATAACCCCGGAGGGTTAGCCACCCAGGATAACCCCGGAGGGTTAGCCACCCAGGATAACCCCGGAGGGTTAGCCACCCAGGATAACCCCGGAGGGTTAGCCACCCAGGATAACCCCGGAGGGTTAGCCACCCAGGATAACCCCGGAGGGTTAGCCACCCAGGATAACCCCGGAGGGTTAGCCACCCAGGATAACCCAAGAAAGTCAGTGCGTCATCGAGGACTGTCTAACTTATTTCCGTTGTGGTCCTTAATCTTGTCCCCCAGGATGCCACCCACACCAGTCCACTAACACCCAGGATGTGACCCACACCAGTCCACTAACACCCAGGATGCCACCCACACCAGTCGACTAACACCCAGGATGCGACCCACACCATCCACTAACACCCAGGATGCGACCCACACCAGTCCACTAACACCCAGATGTGACCCACACCAGTCCACTAACACCCAGGATGCCACCCACACCAGTCCACTAACACCCAGGATGCGACCCACACCAGTCCACTAACACCCAGGATGCCACCCACACCAGTCCACTAACACCCAGGATGCTACCCACACCAGTCCACTAACACCCAGGATGCCACCCCACACCAGTCCACTAACACCCAGGATGCCACCCACACCATACACTAACACCCAGGATGTGACCCACACCATCCCACTAACACCCAGGATGTGACCCCACACCAGTCCACTAACACCCAGGATGCCACCCACACCAGTCCACTAACACCCAGATGTGACCCACACCAGTCCACTAACACCCAGGTGCCACCCACACCAGTCCACTAACACCCAGGATGCCACCCACACCAGTCCACTAACACCCAGGATGCCACCCACACCAGTCCACTAACACCCATATGCCACCCACACCAGTCCACTAAACACCCAGATGCCACCCACACCATCACGTAACACCAGGATGCCACCCACACCAGTCCACTAACACTCCAGGATGCCACCCACACCAGCCCACTAACACACAGGATGCCACCCACACCAGTCCACTAACACCCAGGATGCCACCCACACCAGTCCCCACTAACACCCAGGATGCCACCCACCACCAGTCCACTTAACACCCAGGAGCCACCCACACCAGTCCACTAACACCCAGGATGTGACCCACACCAGTCACTAACACCCAGGAACCACGCCACACCAGTCCCTAACACCCCGGAGGTGACCCACACCAGTCACTACACCCAGATGTGACCCACACCAGTCCACTAACACCAGGATGTGACCCACACAGTCCCCACTAACACCCAGGATGCCACCCACACCAGGTCCCTACACCCAGGATGTGGACCCCACCAGTCCACTAACACCCAGGAATGCCACCCACACCATTCCACTAACACCTCAGGATGTGACCCACACAGGTCGACTACACCCTTGGGGAGGCGGTGGGATTCCACCCACACCAGCCACTAACACCCAGGATGCCACCCACACCAGTCCACTAACAACCCAGGAAGCCACCCACACCAGTCCACTAAACACCCCGATGTGACCCACACCAGTCCACTAACACCCAGATCCACCTCACACCAGTCCACTAACACCCAGATTGACCCACACCAGTCCACTATCACCCCGGATGACAAAAACCCCCCCACACCAGTCACTAAACCCAGGATTCCACCCACACCCAATCGACTAACACACAACCCAGGAATCCACCCACACCAGTCACCTAACACCACAGGATGCCACCCACACCATTCCACTAACACCCAGTATGCCACCCACACCATCCACTAACACCAGGATGTGACCCACACCATCCCCTCACCCACCCACTCACTAACACCCAGGAGTGACCCACACCAGTCCACTAACACCCGTGGATGCCACCCACAACAGTCCACTAACACCCAGTATGCCACCCACACAGTCCACTAACAACCAGGATGCACCCACACCATCCACTAACACCCAGAGATGTACCCACACCAGTCCACTAACACCCAGGATGTGACCCACACCATCCCACTAACACCCAGGATGTGACCCACACCAGTCGACTAACTCCCATGTTGTGACCCACTCCATCCCACTAACACCCAGGATGTGACCCACACCAGTCCACACACCCAGGATGGTGACCCACACAGTCCACTAACACCCCCGATGTACCCACACCATCCACTAACACCCAGGATGTGACCCACACCAGTCGACGAAACAACCCAGGATGCCCACCCACACCAGTCCACTAACACCCAGGATTTGACCCACACCAGTCCACTAACACCCAGGATGTGACCCACACCAGCCACTAACACCCAGGATGTGACCTACACCAGTCCACTAACACTCAGATGCACCCACAACAGTCCACTAATACCACTATAGATCACCCACACCAGTCCACTAACCCCAGTATGCCAACCACACCAGTCCACTAACACCCAGGATGTCACCCACTACCATTCCACTAACACCCAGGATGCCACCCCACACCATCCACTACCACCCAGTATGCCACCCACACCAGTCCACAAACACCCGGGATTGAGATTTTTTTTTTGCCACCCACACAAAAAAGTCCCTAATCACCCAGGATGCCACCCACACCAGTCCACAAACACCCAGGATGCCACCCACACAGTCCACTAACACCCGGATGTGACCCACACCATCCCCTAACACCCAGATGTGACCCACACCATTCCCCTAACACCCAGGATGTGCCCACCCAAATCCCCCTAAACCCAGGATGCACCACACCATCCCCCTAACACCCAGGATGACCCACACCATCCCCTAACACCCAATGACCCACACCCAGTCCCACACCCAGGAGCCACCCACACCACCCCTAACCCCGTTGCCACCCCCCATCCCCACACAGGTACCCCACCAGTCACTAAAACCCAGGATGTACCCCCACCAGTCCACTAACACCCAGGATTTTCCCCCAACCATCCCCAACACCAATGCCACCCCCATCCCCTAAAACCGGATGCCCCCACACCACCACTAAACCCCAAAAAATTATCCCAAACCACCATCCATAACCCCCCGGGTTTCCCACACCATTTTACAAAACCCAATCCACCCACAACCCCGTCAAAACAAAACCCGGATGTACCCAACCGTCCACTAAAAACCCCAAAGACCCACAACCCGTCCCATAAAAACCCTATCCCCCCACCGTATAACAAATCCCCCCCATCCCAAACAACCCCAATGCCCCCAAAACCAGTCCACTAAAACCCGGGAAAACCACCCATCCCACAAAACCCGGGGCCACCCCAACCATCCACTAAAAAACCCCCAAAACCCACCCATCCACAAAAAGGATGCCACCCCCCACCAACTACACCCCGGAGGCCACCCACCCATCCACTAAAACCCAGTTTTTACCCACACCTCCACCCAAAAAACCGGGTTACCCAACATCCACTAAAAACCCAGATGATCCACACCAGTCCACTAAAAACCCAGGATTACCCCCACCAGTCCCCAAAAACCAGGTGGACCCCACCATCCACTAAAAACCCAGGATGACCCACCCAAAATCCCCCTAACACCCCGGGGTGACCCCCAACACC